TAAAAGAATCAGAAAGAAACCTCCAAAGCTTTGTCCCGATCGTAAGGAGACCAATAATTGTGTCAAATTATTGACTGGCAAAGTTAATAGAATTGAAGAAATTATTGATAATTTTTATCGCGGGTTTCCAAAAAAGAAGGTTGAAAATTATTCGATATATAACAAAAAGTTTATTCTCAACAATGTTCCTTGCGAATTGGAATACGACTTAACAAATTTCAACTTAGAAGAATTAGTCAAATTGTCAAATTTTGCAACAAAAAATTTCATTAATAATAAATACCCATTTCCTACCTCTTCTTTTAATGAAAATGATAATGAAAATTTTATTCTCGATAACGTCTCTTGCGTAGTTAATAGAATTGAAAAAATTGTTGATAACCTTCATGAATGTATTTCAAAAAGGAACAATGAAAAATTTTCAATATATAACTCACAATTTAGTCTTAATAATGTTCCTTGTGAATTAGAATACGACTTGTCAAATTTCTCTTTAGAGGATTTACAAAAATTAGTAAATCTCACAACTCAAGATTTCAATCCATCTTCCAGCTCTTTGAATAAATATGAGAATGAAAAACTTACTCTCAATAGTGTCCATTGCGAATCATCATATGATTTTTCAAATTTAACTTCAGAAGAATTAGAAAAATTAGTAGCACAAGATTTCCAGTATTCATATTCTACCTCTTCTAATGAAAATGGGAATGAAATAAATATTTTAAACAAGACCCCTTTCGTGTTAGAATATGAATTTCCATATTTATCTTTAGGACAAGATTACAACGATAATAAATATCCATTTACTATCTCTTCTAATAATGAAAATATTACTCTTAATAATGATTCTTACGAATCAGGGTTTGATTTTTCAAATTTCACTTTAGAACTATTTTCAACTCATGATGATAAGTTTCCGTTTAATGAAGATGCGAATTAAAATTTTTTAACATTGCTTCTACGAATTAGAATGATTTGTTAAATTTCACATTACTGTATTAAAAAAAACGAGTCGGCAGCAAAAATTCTAGAGAATAACAATTTTTCGAATATTTAAATTTTAAATTTAAGGCACTATATTATCTTTATTTTTTTTGGCAAAAATACAGTTGTTATTATTGTATTATTTTTTTTCGACTTTTATTTTTCACCATTTATTTGTAGATTATGTACACTAAGATTTGCTTGAAATTAAGATTTAAGTTTTTATTTTATGCTAAATTATTTATATAAAAGGTTGATTTTATCATTAATTGTAATATTATTTCGTCTTGGCAAACTTCTGAATATAATAAAAAATAACGAAATTTTCTGATAAAATAACTTGCTCGTGAATTTATCAATCTCATTGCTTAGTCCTTTTATTATATTTAAAATAATAATTTATTTTATTTTTTAAAAATGACACTTATTCGGCTCCCCTGATTTAGTGCCGAATTAAAAGTATATTCACTTTTACTGATCAATCTCTAATTTGATATCTGAGGCATTAAGAATCGACAGATCATCAAACCTTTTTGATATTATTAGAATCTGAAACGGTTTTGGTTAAATAATTCTAAATTTATGAATACTTTCTCAAATTTTCAGAATTATATTGTGCAATTTTATTATGATTTTCTAGATAACTTTCGATCTTAAAACTTATGGCAACTTCGATCTAGTAGATAAAATTCACTTAATTTAGGATCATAATTATAAACAAAGGATGTCTACCTAGAATTGGAAATCAAAAAACTTTTTATGTTAAAAATTTTGGTTTCGTCAAATTATCCAAGCTTGAATTCTTTATCATCCTAAATTATGAGCAAAGGACTGGTTCCGAAATACTTAACGTTGTTTTCGATATTATGACAACTATTAATTACTAACAAATAGTGGTCAATCGTGAATGTCCGTTTAATGATCTTACCAAATTTGGCTTAGCGTCATATTTATGATATTCTGCGAACAAAATCTTTGGCGTCGTTTCCTTTGTTCTTCTATGCAGATATTCACAGATTATTTATTTATAAATTAATATGACATAATTTTCCCTTTAAAGATCTTATTTATGAAATCGTAGACAATCCTGAAAGCAAGTTTTATGCCAAATACATCATAGAAAAAATTGTGACGTTTAACAATTACCTTTTTTACAAATCATGCATAATTTTGAAGTTTTATAAATTTTGCTTTCCTATTTTGTATTTTTAATTTTAACCTCATTGGTTTTATCCAATATTTATTTCTATGTATTTGATTAACTGTAAAAAATGGCTAAAAAGAGATACATGCATTTACATTCCACTAATACAACTGTTTGCAAGGAATCGCCTGCAGGCTTTTTCTCTTATACGGCCCTACAAAATTCAAAACATAACGAAACTTATTTTCAGAATAAAAGTTATGAATGAATTCGGGGCAACCAATAATGAAATAATGATGACTTTTTTTAGGTTTGCAAAATCTTTGATGGGCATTCTATTCTCAAAATTCCGCCGGATATTTATTTGTTTATAGGAAAAAAATTTACTCCCGAAAATGTCCACATATAATTTAGATAGAAATCTATAAATTCTACAAACGAGATTATAACCATAATATTTAACAATTTTTTGGATTAGTTTGAACTTTTTAACAATCGACCTAATTTAGGAAAGTCAAAAATGTATCTTCACATAATTGTATTAGTATTAAGGTACATGTACTAACCATAGTTTTCGGAAATTTATTTTATAGGGATACGTTTTGCGATGCAACAATATTCGATTAATTACAATTCTAATTTTTTTAACACCTTAAAGCACTCAAAAAATTTGCAACGACTCATGATCCAGCAACAACTCAAGAAAAAATAAGTCAATCAGTTTTCCTAAAAGTGCGTCAAGACTATAATTGACAAAAAAAAGATAATTTATAACAGCATAGAAGATGAGGACTTAAGCAAAGTTAGTTGTTTACTCCTAGTATCTTATCCAGAGACAAATTTTTATACTATAAATTGTTATATGTAATCTTATATATAGTTAAGAAATTCATTGGTTTAAAAAAAATATTGGCGAAATGATCATATGCCAATTAATTGGTTGGACTAAAGCGATCTTCATTTGTATGTTTAAAAAAGGTTATGGTACGTTTCGCCAAAACCCGTTCCGCCGAAACCCATTTCGCCGAATGGACTTTTCACCGAGAGGGCGCTTCACCGAAATGACGTTTTTGCCGAATCCGTTTTGCCGAATGGACACTTCTCCGAATCCGTTTCACCGAAAGGATATTTCGCCGAAAACGAAAATAATTCGAAAATAATTCGCTGTTGATTGTTAGCAATTTGCCAGATTTATTGAACTTTTTTTATTGTTTCCAACGAAATTTTTAAGAAAAAACTTACTTTTTAATGTAGAATCTAAAAATGATAAGTTAAACAAATGTTACGCAGTAGTCATTTACGGCGAAATGTCCTTTCGGTGAAACGGATTCGGCGATGTGTCCGTTCGGCGAAAACGACTTTCGGTGAAAAGTCCATTCGGCGAAGTGGTCGTTCGGCGAAGAGTCCTTTCGGTGAATTAGCTTCGGCGAAACGGATTCGGCGAAACGTACGGATACCTGTTTTTAAAAGGATCCATTAATCAAATGCTTATGCGATTGAGTCTATTTGAAATTAAATATCAGTAGTCGAAGGCGATACGGTATGAATGTATATATATAAAAAACAAATAAATAAGCTTTAATAAACTTATAATTAATTCTTCCGCCTATAATTAAATTAAACTATTTTCCCCTTTTACCTTCCCCACCTATTATAGGTTTCTTAGGATTGACGTATGGTGGTACAGTATCATATTGATAAAGATTTCTCAATATATGTTTGGCACGCATACCCTATTTATCTCCTGTAAAAAGTTCAAGCTAAAAGTAATGTTAGTCATATATTCATTCATTAAATTAATATTAATTTAACATCGGGCTAGCTTTTGATTCTAGTGATCGCTTCCTTACTTCTTCGATTACTTCCGAAATGCACAAATTATTTTACAGGTATTGCAAAAGATATAATTATAACTAAAAGAAGTCCTTTTGTTATCCTCCATGAGAGGATTTGAAGCCTTAAATAAAATCAATTCTTAAATAGATTAAATAATAATGCCTATTTTAATTTTACAAATGTTATTCATCTGTAAGTATGTAAAATGAAATTGGGAGTCTTCGATGGCGCAGTAATATAAACAAATCAAATTTAATAGCACTTGCGATTTATATAAATTGAAATCCGATATTTCTTTTATCACGAGAATTTATAGAAGGTAATAACGTTATATTTTATTAAATTTTTTTTTTTTTTTGTATTAAATACAAAATAAATACTAACATTGCAATATTCTTCGCGAATATATAAGGTCGTTTTAGTGATGTCTTACGCGTTTGTCACTCAAAATTTCTGGACGACATTGTGAACGAAAATTTTTCTTAAAAAAAATTAATTGCACAATATAAAAAAAAGAATTAAATAATTTTACAAAAAATAAAATTTTTTAAATTCGGAATAAAAATTTCAGGAAAATTTTCTACACCTTTATAAGAATTCACGATATTTTTCAGATCTAGTGTAATGGAACGCAGATTCTGTTTATCTCATGCATATAAGAACGGTCGCTTAATTATGCAAATGGTATTGTATTGTCCAAGGTTTCTACCAATTGAATAATTTTACCTCAACAACGGTTGTAATGGTGTCTTTAAGGCTAAATGATAAAACTGATATGATTTGTGTCATAAGGCATGGCTACAGATAAATTTTGAGTTGGTAAGAAAGTACTATATTTATACAATAATCGTGAAAAATAAATTCAATTACCTTATTAAATGTAGAAACTAATCAATGAAATCGCGTAAACCATGTTCACTTGAAATTCTTCAACTATCGAGGATAAATTGGTAGGGAATTAATTATTGATAATTGATTCATTTTATTCATTATTCATTGTGATGTTTTTGAATAAAAAATAATAAAGGTACATTAACTATTTAATAAAATGGATTTAGTTATACGCTGTAAATTCCACATCAATACCTTAGCAGGAATCTTTCGTAAATATTTTCTTTCTCGAGTTATAATTTACAACTATGAATAGATTTTAGAACAAATTGAACAAAATATGTGAATACAAAGAATTATTTAAACGTAGAATAATAATTCAACTTGAATTATTTTCTAAAGGATATATTCAAATTATTGAGAAATTGCGCAAAGGTTTAATGCTAAATTTTTATATTTAGATAAAATCTAATTTCGAACGGTATGAAAAAATTAATTAGTCTACCAGAAATAACTAAATCAACCAATTCATTTAATCATAAATATGATATTAATCGTTACATTTAAAATGTAAATAAATAGTATAGTACCTAAACAATATAAAAGGAATATTACACGTTAGTCATCTTATTTCTTTAATGGGCTTGGCCCCATGATCCTATCAAAAGCAACAACTTTCTCACGAGTTTCAGCCAAACATTAAAGAGAATATTAGGTAATTGATTGTATAAAATTATATATATTGCTTAATCATATCTTTCATTAAACCATTTCCATTTATTAATTTTATTGTGGAATCTTAAACATAAGCGGGAAGACTTTATCAAGATGTTTTGTTTTATCTTTCATAAATAACCAAAAGAGTACAACAAGAGTATACATAGAAATTAACATTAAATAATACTACCATATTTATCATCAAAGTTGGTTATAAATTTTTATTTTTACAAACTTAAGTAATGCACATATTTTAGATACGGTTTATACAATTTTTGTATCAATTATCACGCGCAAGCTATCTTAGCAAATTAGGTTAACAATAGAGCCTACGATGTCTGATTTCAAACAAAAATAAACCAACCGCTCGCGCTCTGCTTCGCCAGAGTTGCCACAACGACCAAAAAAGAAACAGAACACCAACAACAGACTGCTGACCCGCTTACAGAAAGCAGTACTTCCAAAAACAATAACAAAGAAACTCCAGAAATACAACAGTAACTCAAAAGTAAAACAAAAGACCAACGGTAACATTCAAGGTCTTATATTTAAAATGCATACCGTCGGTAAAAAACGATTTTAGCGGACATTTCCATTTGAATTATGGCGTTAATCAATCTTAAAGATATTTTCTAAACAAGAAATTATTTTTTTTTTCATTTTTCATTTTTCATTTTTTTGAAATAATTAATTTTGCAAAAAAAAGAACCAAAAAGATAATTTAAACAAAGAATTCGTTGAATATCACGCATATTTAATGCAAGCTATTTAATCCACATGAATTATTTATTAAATCAGAAATTGCCTACATAAGTTATGAAAAAATCTTAATCTTAATGCTTAATTATTAATTACATAAATACAACATAAATTACATAACAAAAAAATATTTTTCTAATATACAGAATTTGCCAATAATAATAATAATTTCAATTGAATTAATATTCGAGTGAGAAAAATGTCGAATTCATTTCTAACAATGACTAACTTCGTCCATTATTAGACGACGAAGGAAGGTATTTATTATTGACGAAAATTTTATTGTTATTATTGTTATTTTGGATTGTGAAATTTGCTAATTTTTGTAATTCTTCTAAAGTGAAATTTGCCAAGTCGTATTCAATTTCGCAAGGAACATTGTTAAGTAAAAACTTTGTGTTGTATATCGAAAATTTTTCGGCCTTCTTTTTTGGAAGCCCGCTACAAAAATTATCAACAATTTCTTCAATTCTGTTAACTTTGCCGGAAAATAATTTGACACAATTATTGGTGTCCTTACAATCTGGACAAAGCTTTGGAGGTTTCTTTCTGGTTCTTCTG